ATAATACAGTCTCTAAATGCAGCACCTTATAATTACAGTGAACCAAAAACAAGTTCAACAGCAAAAATAAAACCAACAAGAATAAAAAAAAAAACTACAGCATGATCTATTCATGCTGCATTGCATGCTGGGAACCTTCATAGTACATATGCACTGTAGAAACACAGTATGATGCTGTTTGTTTAAAGTAATTTCTGAGAGTGCAGTTACCCAGCTAGCAGGGAATGTTCTCAGAACTTTGGCTAACATTCCATACAGGTTTGGTTGATGTTTTAGAGAAAACATTTGAATGAAATGTTCAAAAAATGTTTTAAGAATGTTTTTCATTTCAGATAATGTTCCTAAAACGTTAAGTGTAAACAAAGCTAGAACATTTTACCTGCAACATTTTGAGGATGTTTTGAGGATGTTGTTGAGGTAACAGATTATATAATGTTCTCAATATAACATTGACACAATGTTTCAAGATAACAAAGGAAGAACATTCTCTGAGCCACATTAGGAGAATGTTATAAGAACATCATTGAGGCCGGAGGTGATGGAATATTTTTTATAAAACATTCTTGTAATGTGACGTATTAACAAAGCTAGAACATTTTATCTGCAACATTTTGAGGATGTTGTTGAGGTAAGAGATTATGTAATGTTCTCAATAAAACATTGGCACAATGTTTCAAGATAACAAAGGAAGAACATTCTCTCAGCCACAATAGGAGAACGTTATAGGAACACCACTGAGACTTGAGATTGTGTAATGTTTTTATAAAACGTTCTTGTAATGTGACGTATTAACAAAGCTAGAACATTTTATCTGCGACATTTGAAAGATGTTTTGTGGATGTTGTTGAGGTAAAAGATTATATAGGGGGAGACCGGGTATGGTTGTAACACTTTTTGTTTCAACATCTGTAACTCGCTGAATTTTTGAGCTAGAGTGCTCAAACTTTTATACAAAGTACCCACATTTGTTCACTACAAAAGGCACCAATTCAAATATCTGCAAGTATATCACAGCCCTTATAAGTTGATGTCAAATACATGGAGTGCCTTTGTTACAATCTACCCCGCTACCGGGGTAGGTTGTAACACATACTGGGGAGAGTTGTAACAGTCAGACAAAAGAAGCAAAAACAGCAGCCACCTCATAAAGTTTGCTTCAAAAACAGGTTTATTGAAACAATCTAAAAGAACTATACAAAACAATGTCACACTTTCTACGAATGACCACAGCTCAAATCCACTTTCTGTTTGATGCGGGAGTGTGTACGTGTATGTGTGTAAATTAGACTAGTAGAACAAACCTCCTTAACGGTATTTATGCTTACTTTTAGAACCGTATCCTCCTGAAGAACCTTTTATATGCTGAGACAGTTCTTTGCTTTAGAGTTAGGGTTCTTTTTTTCCCACCTTTTTGTTTTCCAAATCTGTAACCGTCAAAGCCGCATCACTCTTAAGAGGTAAATGATTCATTTCTTACAATTTCTTACAATTTTACCTTTAAAAATGGTAACTAGTTTCATGCCAATCATGTCTTTTTCTCTTTTTTAGTTTAACAGAAAATGCATGTGACCAGCTCTGTTCAGTTAAGGATGCTTACTTTCTCTTCACTAAGTAGGCCTAACAGAAATGTTGAAATAATGATCCATGATTCAATTATTTTTTTTTACTTTATGCATAAACACCCAGTCATAAATAACATTAAAGTTATCCCATGACCTTATATCTCTTTTTCTTTTAACATTATAAAGGGCTCACATACTGTCCATTTTTTCTAATTGTTTTACATAAATAACTGCACACATTATAGCTCTAAACTCAACTGTGTTTCAGAAGCTGTCACATCCTACCACCTCATCATCAGCAATGAGAAACATAAAGATGGACATAAAGACATTGTGAAGATATTTCACTTGAACTTGGTCTTCATTAATTCCATATCATGTTCAGTGTCAACTGATATGTATTAATGTTTTCAGCTAACGGCAGTTGTTTGAGCCCTGTAATTTTTCCTACACTTTGCCATGTCAATAAAAAAATAAATGTACATAATTGACATATGCCGTTTGTTTGTTTATTTATTTATGTAAAACCTAAATAGAAGCCACAATATATTATAAAATCAGGTAGATAGATGGATGAAAATTAATATGAATAAATAATATATTAAAATAATATTAAAACAAATATTAATAATTTAAAAATATTTACTGATATTAATTGAAAATAAATTGTAACACCAGGTCCTATAAACTTGTCAAAGCACAGTTCTTTATGGAACCTTATTAAAAAGGGTTCTATATAGAACCAAAAAGGGTTCTGCTATTGTTAAAAGTAGAAGTACCCAATTTGGTACTGTTTAGAACATTTTACCAGCTACATTTTGAGGATGTTGTTGAGAAAACAGATTATACAATGTTTGCAATAAAATATTGGCACAATGTTCCACAATAATAGAGGAAGAACATTCTCTCAGCCACATTAGGAAAATGTTATGAGGATAT